GTCTCGCTAACCAGGCTTACTCAGAAAACAGACTCACTTCACAGAAGTTAGTTCAGCAGCCATTCTTTACTACCATGTAAATTAGAAGCCGTTATGGAAATGGAGGAGCCCTGGTGGCACAGTAGTTAAGCACTCAGCTGCTAACGGAAAGGTCAGAGGTTCAAACCCACCAGCTACTCCGAGGGAGAAAGATGTGGTAATCTGCTGTCATAAAGATTATACCCTATGGGGCAGTTCTACTCTGTCCTATAGGGTCTCTATGAGTCAGAATTGACTTGATGGCAGTGGGTTATGGGTATAGAAATGGAAAGAATCACTGAATACACTTGTATCTTAGGTTGAATCTGTTTTAGAGAAACTCGAACAGTTCTATAAGGTATGTTGTCTTAGAAGCAGGAGCTTTTTCTCTTGAGCCTCAGTTTTCCCATTTCTCTAGTGTGATTTCTGAGGTATGCCGGGCCCTAATGCAGCATATATAATTTAATTTTGTAGTCAAGATCCTAATTTGGGGGACACCTTCCCTTTGTCCTTCATGTTTCCTAGGGAAGTGCCCGACTGGGTGGCACCATTATGAAGGCACGGCCAGCTGCTACAGGGTCTACCTGAGTGGAGAGAACTACTGGGACGCTGCGCAGACCTGCCAGCGGGTGAATGGCTCCCTCGCCACCTTCTCCACCGACCAGGAGCTGCGCTTTGTCCTGGCCCAGGAATGGGACCAGCCAGAGCGGAGCTTCGGGTGGAAGGACCAGCACAAGTGAGTCCTGGGCTGGAGACCTGAGGGGCCTGGTGACTGACTGAGTACATGACACTTGGTCCTCTGCTGCACGCCTCAGGCATAGGTGGCAGCCATCATTTGAGGGAAGGCCAGCCCCCGCTTCCACATGGTGGAAGTTCTCTCCAGTGCCTGTGGCAGTGGGGATCAGGTGCGTATTGTTAACCAGCACAGCAAGGCGTGCTTCACAGGGGCTATTTTTTTATGGATTCAGTTCACATACCATAAAACTCACCCTCTTGAAGTGTATAATTTGGTGGCTTTTAGTATATTCACAAAATTGTATTCACGGGGCTTTGATGTCCACGAAGAGTAAGGTTGGTCTTGCATTAAGTATTCAGGCTTTATTGGAACAGCGAAATAAACTTTTTCTGACCTTTAAATCTATTGTTTAGAATTTTAATGCATTTTTTAAGTTTTAAAAGTTTTTAAAGCATTAGTGCTTTAGAAGTTCAGTTTTTTAAAGGTCAGTGTAACTATTAAACACACACGCACAGAGTCGTTGAGGTCTGCTTCCCGCTGCCACGCTGAAGTCTCTCCTGTTTCTACTTCCCCGTGCAGGTTGTGGGTTGGCTATCAGTATGTCATCACTGGCCGGAACCACTCCTTAGAGGGTCGCTGGGAGGTAGCGTTCAAAGGTAAGTCTTTCCGGTCTGCAGAAGTGTTGAATTTGAAAATGGGGGAAATTGTGCTGACTAGGGGTGTCTGCTGGGGTCTTTTCTCCTCCCACCTTAGGTGCAGGGACCATGGAGAAGAGTGGGCCGAAAACCCTTGGAGGCTTGGGGCACCATAGGCTTGGGGAATGCTTTGGCAATGGGAGGGCTGCCCTGAGGACACAGCGCAGCTGGCCAGGCCCTTCTTCCAGGCCCTTTGTAGGGACGAGGCCTTCCCTAGGTCTGTTGTTGCTTCTCACTTTGGCCAGATTTCTAGACTGTTCCTCCTCCTTTAGTTAAAAGACTTTGATTGGGGCATAAATATGAGCATACAAAGTGCAACTAACACGGGCTAGAGAGGGAAGGACAAGTTTTCTAGGACTGAAGTTGGGATTTAGAATCCAAAACTTGAAGGAAATCTATCAGGTAGATAGAATTAAAATAGATTGTGTGTGTGTTTAAAGATTTTATGCTGAGATATTTGGGAATACAGAGGTAACGTAAAGGAAAAACAGCAGATGTGGGCTGCTAAGCTCTTGTTCCCTGGCTGGCACACTCCTCTCCTGTCCGTTGCCCTGGCTCTGGGAGAGCCCCCTGGGCTCACTCTAGCTGTGGCCTCTCTGCTGGCCATCTAGTTCCCTCAGGCCCCACCTGTTGAACTCCTTTCTGGGTATTTGGCTTGAGCCTGGATCTGGAATTTCTTTCCCCAAACACATAGCAGTCCTGGTAGTAATGTCTTAAGTGTCTCTGAGAAGGGGACAAGTGAGGAGTGGTGAGCTGGGAACACCAGGCACCTCTCTTCTGTCTCCTCACCGCTAGAATGGAGGATCATTGAGCTTGGGCAGAGCTCAGCACCGTCTCTCTCTGGGTGACATTTTGGCAGGTCACTGGGCTAGGTCTCTGCACAGAGGGATATGAAGGCATAGACAGGGTCTGCCTGCTGTTGAGAAGGGTCAGGGAACAGTTAACAAACAACTTTTGGGTTTTCAGTCACTGTGTGCCTCTTAGAGGATAATTCACCTAGTAGTTTGTCATCTGTCCAACTCACAGTGGTTGGAGGTGAATCTTTTGAAATGCTGTTGTCTTGGTCCGGGGCCCGTTGCCCCTGACCCCAGCAGTAGGTGCTGATCTTCAGGACAGCATAGACACTCCTAGACATGACTGTCTTCTACACTGTCTGCATGGCATGACAGCCTGTTTTGAGTTGGGGCACTTAGGACCCTCACTCGTGGCTTGAGAATGGCCAAGGCTCTGATG